CCCCAAAACCCCAAAACCCCAAAACCCCAAAACCCCATGGGAGAAATATTTTGTAGAATAATATTTTAACAAAATGGCTACTCATAAAGGTAATTTTAGTGAAGAGAGAGTTAGGATTGGTGGAGGGGAGGAGATAAGTTAATCGATGCTTGTTTTGAAGAAGGGAAATGGTTCTGTAGGGGTGGATATAGTGGTTATGAGTAGCAGAGGAGATTTTGAGGCATTTTACGAATTAGAATGACATATCAAATTTCCCATATCAAGTTTTATTATATTTTATAACTCTTACTATAGACAAATTTTTAAAGAAAAACTACAAAAAACTGAACCAAAAGTACGAAGAGTACAGCAACTCTTATCAAAAGAAAATTGATCAACTGAAATAATGAAATCAGCTACAATTTCTCAAACTCAATCTCTAAGCCTTATACAAACCTGCCTAACATCAGCAAAGAGGGATCACTCCTTGATATCAAGTAAGGCCATGGCTTAATGCCTTAGCAAGGAGAGCACCAAAGGCAAGAGTAAGGTCCTCAAGAAGTTCCAGAAAAATCTAGACAGCTACTCCTACATCCTAAATTCTAAACATAAGGATAAGGCCATCAGAGGGAAAATCTACAAACAAACGCATCATAGTGTCTCACCTAAGAAGATGGCCAAACAGTTTAGGGATGCTCAAGGCATGGCTAATAGTTTCTGTCTAGAGAATACCTCCCAGCCCAACAGCAAGCTTTCCTCAAATAGCCTCAGGAAGCCTAGGAAGCATGAGAAGTTTGATGATTTAGATAATCTTGACAAGTAAGAGATATGTTTATACTTTAGTGAGGACATTAACTTCCCTAAGAGCATTGAGAATATCATCAAAGGTAATATTTCAACATGAGATAATAGAGCATGATGATGACAATACCCCAATGCGCACCCATTACAAAAGTAAATCTTGGAAGATAATTCTCTAGAACCTTACTATAACACCAATAGACCTTTAAAGGGATCAAATCCTAAAATTTCATCTGGATCACAAGGGAAATAGCCGCGTGAATTCAAGACATTACTCTGCTTATAAAAATATGCAAAATTAAGGTACCCGATGATCCTCTTCGTATGACAAATATTGACCTGAACACTAGCCAGAGAAATTTTGCAATCAGGGTAAATTCCACTAAGAAATCGAATTCCTTAAGGAAATCTCCAATAAAGAAGTCTAAGCTAGAGAAAGCAGATTCGAATGACTTCATCACTGATGAACAATCTTCGAGCCCTCACCACTCTTTCTGCGTGAAATCGGTTGGAAACAAAAGTTTTTACATAAATAATGAAGAGTCTAACCTGAAGTTAATCAAAATGGAGCCTGAGAAACTTGATTCTGACCTCACACTTCCTAGCATCAACAGTAAGGACCTTTCTTGGATCATTGCATGTAGAGACTCAGATAGAAAACACAGATAGTTTAGTCAAACTTCCCTCAGAAAGCATCCCTGATAAAGCTGTGTCTAAAAACATGAAACTCGAGACAAATCTCTCAATGATAAAGAAGAATCTTGCCACTAACCTAGACAACAAAATCAGGTAATAAGACGTAGTCAATCTGTAGTAATAATGATGTCTCTGGCTTCTCAAAGTCACGCAAGAAGTCTCTCACAAAGTTCAGATCTGGCCGGAAGAGCCACTCCCATCATAGAGGGAGCCCTACTAAGATCAGGAAGCTGAGTAAGCACTTTAAGGATCATTTTAGAAAACCCTGGTTACAAGAATTCACAAATTAGGCTCAAGGATTACCTTAAAGATGGATCTCATAAAGATTTACTGAATCTCACATCCATGAATAGTCAGAATACTGATTCGAAGAACCTGAATGAAGAAAAGAAAGGGTATAAGGGGAGTATCTACAAATACGAAGATTTTGAACAAGTGAGTACCATCACTAGAGGTTCCTTCGGGATCATTGAGTTAGTAAGACACATCAAAACCCAGAAACCATTCGTATTTAAGAGAATCCCTCAGAGCAGTGTCAAGAAGGACAAGCAAATCCAGCATCTCCAGAGTGAGAAGAAGATATGTTTGAACACAGAGATTAAGAAGGACTTCATAATCCAGTGATATGACTCCTTCGAGGATGCAGAGAATCTCTACTTTGTCATGGAATTCATCCCTGGAGGTGACCTACATGATATGATTAAGAAAGCAGCCTTCGCATCTCTTGAAAAAGTCAAGTTTTACTTCTCAGAAGTAGTTCTGGCTATTGGTAAGCATATTGATCATCTGTAGAGGAGCTACATAGGCATAATATTGTCCACAGAGATTTGAAGTTAGACAATATCATGATAGGCGCTGATGGTCATGTAAAGGTATCTTTCTCAAATAAATCAAAATAGCTGGTAGATTTCGGATTTGCCAAACATCTCAGAAGTCAATCAAGCAAAGCAAAGACTAAGTGAGGAACGCCCGATTACCTCCCTCCCGAGGTAATCAGAGGCATCGGCTCTGATCTTCGGTCTGATATTTGGTCTCTGGGAGTTCTACTCTGAGAAATGATTGGTGGATTTACTCCTTTTCGAGCCTCAGATCCTCAAAACTTATATGATAATGTTCTCAACTTGAACATAACTTGGCCAAGGAATATTGACAAAATCTCAAAAGACCTTATCTCGAAGATCCTCGTTTGAGAACCAGAGATGAGGATCACAATACCTGACATGAAGGAGCATATATTCTTCAAAAACATAGACTGGGAGTCTCTTGAAGAGAAAAAGGTATCTCCCCCATTAGTGCCTGATCTGGAGGATGAATTCTCCTTAGAATACTTTAAAGATGATAAAAAGATGGAGATGTACAATAACCCATTATACGAATTTGATCAGAAGGCTGGTATCAACCCGAGCCCTGTTCCTGACTTTGATCAGTACTTTAATGATTTTTAATCTTCCAGATAAAATATGATATTTCAACTTCCTTAGAGAAATATGGGGTTTTGGGGTTTTGGGGTTTTGGGGTTTTGGGGTTTTGGGG